TGAGAGGCAATAAACTGATAAGTGGCACACCTATTAGTAAGGAGCCCTGGTGGTGCATTGGTTAAACACTCAGCTGCTAACCGAAAGGTGAGTGGTTCGAACCCACCAGCGGCTCTGTTGGAGAAAAGACCTGATGATCTGTTCCCATAAAGATTATACCCTAGAAAACCCTATGGGTCAGTTCTGCTCTGTCCTGTAGGGTCGCTATGAGTCAAAATCGACTCAGTGATACACAGCATTATTGATCTTTTAAGTTTTCTTACTATTTTGCTGTAATGATTGTAATAATGAACATTTTGTGCATATGCCTAATTGTTCAGGCCTAATCTCATTCAAAAGAGATTAGCCATATTACGGCATATTTAGAGATGTGATTATTGATCCTTGAGTTTTGCTATTTGATTATCTATATACACTTACTTTTTGTATGCATGAAGTATCTCCTGAAGGATATGAGAAACACAGATTGTCTTTAGGGAAGGGACCTGGGTAGCGAGAGCATGGGCATGAGATTGTTCACTGTTTAGTAAGTTATCCTTCTTGAATTTTTATGAATATGTTGTCTATGCATAAAACAAAATTTACAAAGAACATTTTTAGTTGTAAAGTAAAAGATGTTACCTGTTTTGTTAAACTTGGCCTTACGAATTTTTCATTTCTCAGCATATTATGGTTTATTAAACAAATTTTCCTGTTACCAATTGTCTTCTGTCAGCTAAAGGCACCTATTTTCTGGCTCATTCTTTAATGCCATTTGCAACTCAGAATGAGTCAGGATACCACAGCTAGATCATAGTTAATGGAGAAAGACTGAGAGCTTTCTCATTTAAGATCAGAAACAAGACAGGGATTCTAACTCTTACCACTGCAATTCAACATTGTTCTGGAAGTCTTAGCCAGAGCAGTTAGGCTAGAAAAAGATAAAAGGTATCCATGTTGGGAAGGAGGAAGTAAAACTATCCATTTTTGCAAACAACATGATTGTACACATAGAAAACCCCAAAGAATCCATAAGAAAACTATTAAATGAATTCAGCAAAGTGGCAGGGTATAAGGTTAACACACAAAAAGTCAGACTTTTTATACATCAGCAGTGAGCAAGTAGAAAAGGAAATTGAGGAAACACTACCATTTCTGATAGCATCTAAAAGGATAAAGTACTTAGAATAAGTTTAACCAGGAGGGTGAAAGACTTGTGCACAGAAAACTATAAAACATTACTAAAAGAAATTAAAGAAGACCTAAGTAAATGGGAAGGAGCCCTGCTGGTGCAGTGGTTAAGTGCTCAGCTGCTAACTGAAAGGTCCATGGTTCGAACCCACTAGCTGCTCCATGGGAGAAAGATGTGGCAGTCTGCTGCCACAAAGATTAAAACCCAAAAGACCCAAACCTGTTGCCATCAAGTCAATTCCGACTCGTAGCAACCCTGTAAGACAGAGTAGAACTGCTCCATAGGGTTTCCATGGAGCAGCTGGTGGATTCGAACTGCTGACCTTTTTGGTTAGCAGCTGAGCTCTTAACCATCACACCACCAGGGCTCCCTAACCCCTCCTCCCCAAAAATTACAGCCTAGGAAACCCTATGGCCAGTTCTACTCTGTCCTATAGGGTTGCTATGAGTCGGAATCGATAGCACACAACAGAGCAACAACAAATAAATGGAAAGACATTCCATGTTCTTGGATTGGAAGGCTTAATACAATTAAGATGCCAATACTACCAAAAGCAGTCTATAAATTTAATGCAAAACGGAAAACACCAAACCCATGGCCATCGAGTTGATTTTGACTCAAGTTTAATACAGTCCCCATCAAAATTCAACAGCCTTCTTTACAGAAATTTGCCTTTCCAAATTTATATGGAAGGGCAGAGGACTCCAAATAGCTAAAGCAATCTTGAAGAAGAAGAATAAAGTTGGAGGACTCAGACTTCCTGATTTCAGAACATAAGACCACCTGGTACAGGTATAATAATAGAATATAGACTAATGAAATAGAATTGATGATAATCCAGAAATAAATCCATACATCTACGGTCAACTGATTTTGACAAGAGTGCTAAGTCCATTCACTGGGGAAAGAAGAGTGTCTTCAAAAAATGGTGCTGGGAAAATTGGATTTCTGCATGCAGAAGAATGAATCAGGATCCATGCCTCACACCATACATAAGAACCTAAATGTGAAAAATAAAACCATGAAATTCTTAGAAGAAAATATAGGGATGTGGCTGCGAGGCCTTGTTTTTAATGATGGCTTATCAGATACGACAACAAAAGCACAGTCAGCAAAAGATAATAGATAAATGGGGACCTCATAACAAAGTGAAAAGACATCCTACAGATTGGGAGAAAATTTTCAGGAACTGTAATATCCAATAAGGGTCGAATATTCAAAATATATTTAAAAAAACTTTTACAACTTGGAACAAAAAGACAAACAACCCAATCAAAAAACGGCAAAGGACTTGAACAGACGTTTCACCGAAGACATTTCAGACATATACAAATGGCCAACGAGCATGAAAAGATGCTCAAAGTCATTAGCCATTTGAGAGATGCAAATCAAAACCACAATGAGATACACTTTACCTCTATTAGAATGGCAATGATTAAAAAAAAAAAAGGTGTTGGGAGGTAATGCAAAAACTAGAACCTTCATACATTGCTGGTGGGAATGTAAAATGGTACATCCACTGTGGAAAACAGTTTGGGCGTTTCCTCAAAAAATCTAACATAGAACTATCATATGACCCCGCAATCCCAATCCTAGCTATATACCCAGAAGAAATGAAGGCAGGAGGGCATACAGAAACCTGTACACCAGTGTCCATTGCAGCACTTTTCACAGTATTCAAAGGGCGGAAACAAATGTTCATCAGCAGTGAATGCATAAACAAAATGTGGTATATACACACAATGGAATACTGTTCAGCCAAAAAGAGAAGTGAAGCTCTGGTGCATGCCACAACACCGATGAACCTTGAAAATGTCATCCTGAGAGAAAAATATGTCAGTCACAAAAGGACAAATACTGTATCTCACTTATACGAAATAAGGAAATATGTAGAAACACCAAAGATTATTAATAGTTGCCAGAGGTGAGAGGGAGTTTTTGCTTAGGGGGCATTGAATTTTAATTGTTGAGTCGGAGTATGTTTTTCTTAGGTATATTTTTGCCACAAATTAAAAAAAATGAGGATATTTTCATTTAGTTAAGTTTACTCTTATTGCTATCAAAACCAGGTCATCCATTTCCCTTTGTATTCTTGACCATTATATGACATTTCATGTGATGGTATCAAAGCTGTCAGCCTCTCCAACACTGTTGATACCGAACCTGATTTTTAGTGTCAGCCAGTGAGAGATTGTATAAGTAGCAGGATTTTTTCATTAAAAGTTTAGAGAGACAGCTTAAATTCTGATGATTCTACTAAGTTCCATAATCAAATTTATTCTTTTTCCTATTTTTTTGCAATAAAGCTTTTAGAAAGACTAAGACAGTTTCTTAACCTAATAGTAATGTTAGAAATACTTTTTTCCTTATGAGTATCACCTTATAGATTAAGGTAAGATAAAATAATAACTGAAGAGTGTGGCTATAGAATTTAGTGTTTTAAGACACTTGAAAAAGTATTTCTAGTCCTATTTTGACCTTTATCAAAATTTACTTTAAATTCAGTATGAATTTTTTAGAGTCTACATCTGGTTCAAGTTGTATTGCTTACTTTTTTTTTTTTTTTAAACTACTAAGGCACAAAGGAGTTTTTTTATTGTTCATCTTAGATCCATTTTGAAATGTGAGGACACAAACAAAATACAAATTACGTGATTGGCACTTCTATCTGCATTGTTCACAGTTTCTCCTATTAAAATTTAAGGATTATCTAAACTGTCTTTAATTTTATGTCTCACTTGATTGCATCGTTATTCTGTTTTGCTGCTTAAGGAAGCAAAAAATAGTCTGATGAATAGTTTCTATTTATCAAAGCCTTTCAATTTATGGAATAGCCATTTCTTAAATTCCAGAATTCTTAAATTCTTAAAAATTTTAAATTCTTTTTAAGATTCTTCCTAAAATTTTTTGACATTTCTCTGTGGGAAAGAGTATAGATTTTCAAAACTAATTACTCATGAAGTGTAAAGAAGAAACTGAATGCATTTATATTTGAAATAGACAAAGTCTGGTTACAAAATGTTTGCTGTTTTCAGTGCTAATCCCATCATCTGTCCCCAGGTGATTGTATTCTTTTTAAGTATCTAACTTAATGCTGGCATTATAGTAGAGACCCACTAAATTTTTGTTGAATTTAAACCAAAAAACAAAACATCAAACTTGTTGCTGGAAAGTTGATTTGACTCATGGCAACCCCATGTGTTACAGGGTAGAACTCCTCCATAGGGTTTTCTGAGCTGTCTTGGGTAGCACACATGGTTTGCGCTTGTCTGCTAACCTAAAGGTTGGTGATTCCAACCCACCCAGCGGTACAGCAGAAGAAAGGCCTAGAGATCTGCTGCTGTAAATATTACAGCCAGGAAAATCCTATGGAGAAGTTGTACTCTGTAACACATGGGGTCACCATGAGTCAGAATCAGCTTGATGGCAGTGAGTTTTTAATCTTTATGGAAGCAGATTGCCAGGTTTTTCTTCCACAGTGCAACTGTGGGTGGATTCAAACTGCCAACCTTCATGTTAGAAGTTGCATGCAAACCACTTGCACCAGCCAGGGACCTTCTTTGTTGAGTTAAACCAAAAACCCATTGCCACTGAGTCGATTCCAACTCATAGCAACCCTATAGGACAGAGTAGAACTGTCCCGTAGGGTTTCCAAGGAGCGGCTGGTGGATTGGAACTTAAGCTTTTCGGTTAGCAGCCAAACACTTAACCACTGCGCTACCAGGGCTGCTTGTTGAGTTCGGTGATGATAAATTTGAAGCTTTTTACTATGACATTTCTATTAATTTTAGTGATTGTTCTCAGTTATTTTTCTTGGTTGGTTTTTCAGGACTGCAGGAATATGTGGAGGCTGTCTCTTTTCAACACTTCATCAAAACGCGATCACTAATTAGTATGGATGAAATTAATAAACAATTGATTTTTACAACAGAAGACAATGGGAAAGAAAATAAAACCGTAAGAATTTAAAATCATATTGCACATTTATTATATAACTTATAATAATTACAGGAGATTTACTGGTTTAAAATGCTAAGATGATTCAGATGGAAATGTTTTTTCTAAAATGTGGTTTTGTAGATTCCCAGCTAGGGAAATAGTCTCTTTACATATTTTAGTTAGTTGGGGGAAAACGGTACTCTTTACCTAAACCATTATTGAGTGATTACTGTCTAAGTCAGCTTTTGGTTTTACTATGTGCCCTTTATAAGCACCATCTCATTTAATCTTTATTGACCTTATGAGGTAAGAAGTTTCACCCCATTTCACAGAGAGGGAAACAGACTTTTAGAGAGTTTAAATAACTTACCAAAAGCCACACAACTAACAAGTGTGGCAGAGCTAAGATTCGAGACCAGATATCTTGAATGCAAGCCTGTGCCCTTACCCACTGTGCCACTGTTTCTTAAAGTGTGTTAAAGGGATCACCTTTATCAGGTACCTACCTCAAAGGATTGTTTTAAAGGTTAATTAGACGGTACATAGCACTTGACACATTAAGTGCTCAATAGTTAGTTGTTATTATAAAAATTATTGTAAAAGTGAGAGCTCTTAATCACGTATTCAGTTCATAATATTTGTTTCTGAACTTTATGCAGCTCTTCTGAATTAAGAAAAAGAAATTTTACAGTTTGACTTTTAAACAAAATACTACTTTTTTTCTGCTGAGTTTCAAGATAATTGCATTCAAGCAATGAGGTGGTCTGTTTTGAATCTTTGATACCTCCTGAGATACCAGTACACTTCAAGATACAATTAAACCATTTTTTTCCCTTTATTTATTTTTTCTTTTTCCCTATATTTTATTATTTTTTTAAAGACCACTCAAGGATTTAGCATAGGTAGGCAGGAGATGGAAGAAGCTGTAAATATACTTTCTTGAATATTAACTAACATGTTAATATTATAAACTGAGACTGTTAATTTGGGATGACAAATATAACTTAACTTTAAGGAAGCCATGTATTTGCCCAACTTTTCAAATTACAATGAGTTTATTAAGGAGGAAATCCATTTTGAGAAGCAAAATTCCTTCATATTTTTGATTCATCTAGTGAAGACTGAATTACAGAAAGAAGTAGGGTAAGCCTATTTGACCCTGCTTCTTAAAAAAACATTAGGAAAGTTACTGCATTTTGGTAACTTCTCCACAGCTTCCTTCACGTTCTCTCTAACTCAGAATGAAAATATCAGGGGAAAAAGGCAGAGAGAAACTTAGAGTAAATGCAGTCTTTTCAGGATTTAGGTAATAAACTATTCTAAGATTACATTGCTGTAATATTCTTATACACCTTTCAAATTAAGAGCACGTACGTATTTTTCCTTTTAGTGCTAAAGATTCTTGGTGCTGAAAATTCTGGAAATTCGATTGGGAAAGGTATTTGCTTCTGACTTACCTGTTGGGAATATTGTCAAGACCATTTAATTATATTTTTTTAAAAAACTTATGAAAAATTTCAAACATACAGAAAAGTAGAATAGCAACACAGTGAATTCCCATATGCCCACAGCCTAAATTCAGCAGTTGTTAACATGTTGTCATATTTACTTCATCTAAATATTTTTTGCTAAACCATTTTAAAGTAAATTATAGACATATTTCACCACTAAATATTTCACCCCTAATATGCATCTTTAAAAACTGCATTTCTTTTCCCTGGTTTCTAAAATGACATTATGAGTAAAGCAGAATTTATTCCTTTGACAATTTATTAGGTGAAATTTCTTAAGTTTTTAACACGCTCCTTTCCTCAAAATCAGCTTCTTCATTAGCACCACAAAACTCCTTCTGTCTAATGGTAAGAAACAAAGAACCTAACTTTCTTAAGCAAAGGTTATTTATAAATAACCTGTGAAATGTACCCCTCCATACCACTACTACCATTTACCCATTCTAAAAAAATGCCAGTTCTCTGATAGTTAATAGAAATAAAACGTAGCAGGTACTTCTGTGTTATGATATAGTTTAAAAGGCATCAGAATAAAGGGAAGCAGACTTTGGGTACTTACCCAGTTTTGCCTTTTAACTAGCGATATGACCCTAAGATGTTTCTTGGACCTCATTTTTTTCTGTCTACAATGAGAGGATTGCACCAGATGATCTCTGAAGAACTCCAGCAATATTAGGATTCATGTATTAGATACAGAGCAACAAAAGTGATCTTAATAAAACCTAAACTTGACTCTGTTATTCCTTGCTTAAATCCCAGTGACTCTCCATTACCTATAGGTAAAGTTTAAGTTGCTTAAAGTGGCATTCTGTCCCTGTCTTTCTATCTTGCACTGTTTCTTACTTTAAACTTTTCCTCAAAAGAAATACCTAACTAGTTCCTCAAATATACAGCACAGTATTGACCTCTACACCTTTGCAATTTCCTCTTCCTAAAATGTCCTTTGATGTAATTGAACGTCACATGGTTAAGTCTCATACAGTCTTTAAGTGTCAACTTAGGCATCACCTCTTCCAGAAAGACTCCAGTAGAGGGAGAAATTGATATGGAGATAGTAGATTGACATGATGGTAATGGTGAAAACAGCTAACATTTATTGAGTATTTGTGTTGGGCAGTATGCCTAGAACTTGGTAAATGTTATCTCATTTAATCCTTAAAAAAAACCCTCTGAGGTAGGTACTGTTATCCCATTTTACAGATGAGGAAACTGAGGTTTAGAGAGATGAAATAACTTGCCCAAGGGCACACACCTTATGAAGCAAGGTCCTGGAAGAGGTGGGAGGAGATGGGTCAAGGTCATTTGGAAGAGTTAACCTCAAACAAGAGGAGGGACAACTCATCATCTGAGACTGGAGGATAGAAGGTAAAGATGGATGTGGATATAAATAAGCTTTTTCGTAGGGGTAAAGGTAATTGAGAGAGATTGTGCCAGGTGCTCTAGCAAGTGACCAAGTCACTAAAATTAGGCAGGATTGTCTATTGAGAGTGAAGAGGTTTGAGATTGCATAGGGGTTGAAGGGTTGGAATAGTGTTTGAAGGGACTGGGAGAAAACCGTCTAAGTAAAAGGATTGGTAGGTAATTTGTAGTGGTACAAACTATATAGTTGTGATTTTTTGTTTTTTTAGCTTAGTAATACTCAGCTACTTGAATAAAGGAGTAACAAGGATAGATTTTAGTATAGATATAAGATTGTGTTTTTGCTGGACAGGTACAGTAGAAAACTAGGAGTCTAAGGGAATTGAGGAGAATGTAGTGAGAGTAATAAATCATAATGGTCAGTGCTGAGTATGGAAAAGAAAAGAGGCCAGGAAAGGACTACATAATTGACTTAGGAAGACATGAATGGATCAGAAATGTGGAGTGCGTTATTATTTGTCATCTATATACGTAAGTGATTTTCAAAAGTAATATAATTAGACCTTATGTAAGAATGTTTTAATTTTATATGACAGATGAAGTTGGAAGTATAATTGATTTTATAACAATACAGTATTAGACTTAAAAAATATCTTGAAGTCAGCTAGTTCAGCTTCCTACTCAGGATGTGGTTTCCTTTTGTAACATTCCAAATGATCATTAAGCAAAATAGATTGTTTTAGACGAGATTAGTAGGACCGCTCTCCTGTTGATTTTGTACCTTACAGTGAATGTGATACAGCCATATTCACTCTTTTTTACAGTGTATTTTCTGTCTGTGTGTGTGTGTGTGTGTGTGTGTATGTGTATGTGTTCTGTTTTGTTTTGTTTTACCAGCCCTCCTCTGATGCACAGGATAAGCAGTTTGGTGCTTGGAGCCTGAAAGTCACACCTGTTGATTACCTTCTGGGAGTGGCTGACTTAACTGGAGAATTGATGCGGATGTGTATTAACAGTGTGGGGAATGGGGACATTGACACCCCCTTTGAAGTGAGCCAGTTTTTACGTCAAGTTTATGATGGGTTTTCATTCATTGGCAACACTGGACCTTATGAGGTTTCTAAGAAGCTGTACACTTTGAAACAAAGTCTAGCCAAAGTGGAGAATGCTTGTTATGCGTTGAAAGTCAGAGGTTCAGAAATTCCAAAACATATGTTGGCAGATGTGTTTTCAGTTAAAACAGAAATGATTGATCAAGAAGAGGGTATTTCTTAGAATGACATTATTTATTATTCTTTGAGAACTCCTAAGAGAGACCAATTCGTAAGACTGTTATTATTTCATTTGACTTTATTGTGGCTTTTTTGTAGAAATGTTTTCAGTTGTACTTATTTTAAATTGTATACAAGCTGTACGTAAAGTTATCCAAATGAGTCATTTCTTATATCTTATTCATGAAAGTTTGCATAAAGATATTTGCAAATATGCCTATTTGAATTTTTGCTGGTTAACCTTCATCATTTGTTTTTGTGATGTGAACATGCTTCAGCATGCACTTTCTGCCATATCTGTTTTAGTTCACCTTGTGTGAATTTTGGGGTACTAATGTTTAGTGGAAGCCATTTATAATTTAAATTGGTGATTTTGTTATCTATAGAAAGATTTCTTAGATGTACATCTTGACTTGAGCTTCCTGTTTAAATTTCTTGATGTTACTGTACCAAGCTTCCAAATAGGCTTATTTCATGGAAAAAGAACTTAAAAATTAATAAGCTATTATTATTCTTGAAATATAAGTTTTATGAGGTATTGTACTAGGAATTCATATTATATTCTGGCTAACTTTAAGCCATTTGAATTCATGTGAAGCAGCCTTCCAGAAAAATTGACAGGTTACTAGATATTAGTTGCTTCATTTATTTTTTTGTCCTTTATCACAGACGATCTTATAAGGAATTGGATCTAAGGTTTAGTCCGTTGGTGTTTGAACTGAATTATATACTTGCATATAGAACTGAAAGGCTTTTAGTAGTGATTATTTAGCAGTTTTTTTTTTTGTTGTTGTTATATTGCATTAGGCATGGTTGGAGGCTTTCCTATTTTAGCATCTTTTAGAAATTATATTTAAATAATTATAGGGAAGTGTTGAAAAAGTTTGAAATAGTAAGTTAATTCAAATCTTTATAGTTGTTTAACTGTGTTGATTGGTAGTATAAAAAGTTACCAAAGAAAATTTATCATGTACAGTTCAGCAATAAGACAATTGTCAACACAATTGAGAATAACAATGGTAGTCCCTAATAGTATTTAGAATTGGAATTTGCCTATTAAAATTAGTGATAGCTTATTCTCTGTGTTGTGAAACTGACTTGAGCATGACACTGTTGCTGATAACCAGACATTTCCTTTTGGTTTTGAAGATCTAGATACTGGATTTTATTTTTGGAAAGATTAGCTAAGGAACGATTATTTGAAAATGTAATTTTCCAAAAAATTTACCCAAAGGGAAAGTAAAATGTAGACATGCCTAATAAATTAGATTTAATTTTTTGTTTTTGTTTCTTTATTTTTTGTTTTGTGGGTGGTGGTTTGTTTGTTTTTTAAGCCTTTGTTTTCCTATTGTAAGATATACTGCTGAAATATAGTTCCATTATATATTTTTGTTTCTTGTACCACTTGAAGTTAAATCTATAGTGTTAAAAATAAAATAATATTGGATTGATAGATGTTTTACAGATGATTAAAGCTGACATCTTTTGAATAAAATATTAAAATAAGAAGTTAAGCTTATTTATTTTTTTTATCATATTGAGAAATACTTAATAAAAGTGTTCTAGAAAATTTTGGCCAGAACAGGAAACCTAATATAGACTAACTTAATATGAAGATCTATTATTTCTTAAAACAAGCCAGAAGTAAAGAGGGTTTAAAGGTTAACTCAGCAAGCAGTTCAGTGATGTTATCAATGACCCAGAATCCTTCCTTTTTTCTGCTCTTTAGCATCTTCATCATGTCCTCCTCAAACTAACTCCTTGTGATTACAGGATAGTCGCCGCAGTTTGAGGTACCATGAAGATTGGACACTGTCTGTCAGAAGGGTAGATTCTTCTTTGTGCTTCTGTAAGAGTAAAGAAACATTTTCCATAAGTTCCCAAGAAAAACATCTCTTCGTATCTCATTGGCCCAAATTGGGTAACATTCCCATCCCTGTAAACCAGTCACTGGAAAAGAGAATGAGATCACCTTGATAGACCAGTCAGTTTATCCAAGAGGAGAAGGGCAAACACAAAGAAGCCAAATCAGGGTGCTGCCATGGAGCAAGGAAAAACGGCCATTGTGTAGGCTGTCAGTAGTATATCTATGACAGGTGGGTTGGTGCCATTACTGTTGATACCTTTCCACAGCGCATGTCCTACTGATAAATGGGTGTTAGTCTAGTATAATAGAGTATCTCTGAACATCCTGAATGTCTCTCAATTTTAAAATGCTTGCTCTGATCCAACAGTGTTTATTATAAAAAGAAATTGATTCTTGGTCACATGGAAGTTTGCTATCAGAATCTACAAGTAAAATCGAGTTGTTTCCTTCCTAAGTACATATTTTTCCCTACGTGTTAAATTAGAAGTTTTCAAAGTACACATTGTAGAGCCCTAGAGGTTTTTGAAGGTGACTCAAAGAAAGACACTGTTAAATGCCAGTGATTTTCCTGTGTTCAATTTTGAAATGTTCTTTGAAAAAGGCAGAGGTTAAAAGCTATGGAAAATAAAGATATAGCTTAATATTTAAGTTTGGATAAAAAATATTGCATATTAGCATTAATAATGCTTTTCATGGCAGTATAAAAAATGACTGATGGCAGTTAAAAATGACTGAAAATTTATATTTTCTCTAGAAATTTATTTAAACATACAGTTTTGCTTGGGAACAAAGGCCCAGACTCTGAAAAATACTTTAAAATATCTTAATTTTAAACTTAATTTCTTGGTTTAATGTTTTAATTTAATTAAAACTAAAATTAAGGTAAGATAAACTTTTTGTTGTTGTTGTCATTGTTTTAAATTGTGCCAGGCGTTATTAGACATACTGGAGGTGGGGGGTGGGTGGAGAGAGGAGTCTGTTCTCAGTGTTCAGTGGGGATGTTTATACAGTTTGATGGGATATTCCCCAGCTCTCCACTAAAGTGGTACCCAGGAGAGTGAGAACTATTCAGTTTCCTGCAGCTGTGGTCACTGCTGGTAAGGGCCATATTCTCATGTCTGATGAGGGTTTGTGACCCACACTTTTAAAAAGGTAGGGTTCTCCTCCAATAGTGACATAGAATGATTGTTCTGGTGGAGTTTGCTCCATGAACCACGGCGTCACAATGACTCTGAGACGACCGCTTTCTACTCTGAGGGCACATTCTCTTTGCTAATGAACAGCTTCTCCTGCAGTGTTCAGGCAGTTTGCTTACTGCCCTTTGCAGCTGCTGTCAGTTTGTTGGTAAGGCTGGACAAGGTGGCCCAACTTACCTGGCTGGGGGATGGGTGATAAGAGGACACGGACTCAGTTTGATAGCTCCCAGATGTGGAAGGGCTATCTCACAGTCTTCATGGACAGTGCTTCTTGAAGGTGAATCTCTCAAAAGGCAGAATATTGCAGTGAGTGGGGGTAATTCTTCAGTGCTTAGACCTCATTATGCAAAGAAATCTAGGGTTGTCCTGCCTAGCCTGGGTTATCTCAGACATCTGAAACTGGTAGAGAAAGTATCATAGTCCTCGAAATTTTTTCAGCGAAGAAAAATGGTCAAAACCAGGCATCAAAAACAGGCTAAGAAAGATATGGCAACTAAGCACAATATGTGGCCCTGGATTGGGAAGAAAATTTGATATGAAGGACATCATTGGGATATTTAGCAAAATTTTAACATGGACTATATACAAGATGAATTTCGCAAATATAGCATTTACCCCATGGTTACTTAAGAGAATGTCCCAGTTCTTAAATATACATAGAAATATTGATGGGTAAAGTGTCAGCATGTCTGCTGTTCACTCTTAAATGTTTCAGCAACAGTAACAACAAGAGTTGTTACATAGTTGGACTACACAAATGTGGCAAAAAAAAAAAGTTGAATATAGGTAGCAAATAGTATGCAAGGAGTTACTATACTATTCTTCCAACCTTTATATAAATCTTGACAGTTGAACATAATGTTGTACTGAGGAAAAGAAAACTTGGTTTAGGAACCCAGAAAAGCCTAGTTTCAGACAGTAAAGAGTAGGAGTCAAATGAAAGCATGGAGGAGTCAGGCAATTTCTCAGAGCAGGTGGTCTCCTCTGTTTGTCTTAATGTACCTGGAAGGGTGTAGGGTGTGGGATATGGACAAGCAAAAATCCAAGGCAGCATAGAACTGAGTAATTTTTGCTGTAATTCCATTTCTAAGTCTCTAACCTACATATATGCTAGTAACAGCAAATGAACCCTTAATTGTATGTGTGTAGAACCTTTATCTATCTGTCTCTAAGCCTGGGTCTGTGTGCATGTCTCTGTGGAGTAGCAAAAGAAGAACCCCAACATGGATATTGTTGGTTTCTCTATTTTAGTGGGATTCTAAGACTATAGATAAACATTTTTTTTCCATTTTATTGGAATATAATTGTTGTACACTGAACTGCACATATTTAAAGTATACAATTTGATCGGTTTTGGCATATGTATATGCCCATGAAACTGTCACTACAATCAAGATAACAAATATTTCCATTACCTCCCAGAGTTTCCTTCCTTGCACCTTACTTTGTAATTCTTATCTCCATCTCTGTCCCCATGCAACCACTGATCTGTTTTCTCTCACTATTTAAATATTACTAAAATTTTCATTTTTAGTGTTATCATTGCATGACAATAACATGGAACATGAAAAACTAAGAATACTGAGAGGAAGGAAGAGTAGGAACTTAGCGTATTATATGTTACGTTGCTTGTTCTTATGGACAGATTGATTTTTTGTTGCTGCCACTGCATAAAGGTTAAAAAAAAAAAAA